CTCCATGTCTCTCCTGTCTGAGGGTCCCAGAACTGCCCCCAGGGCTGGAGGTGCCCCAGCAGTGCCAGCACAGGGGGACAATCCCTGCCCTGAGGCTGTGACCACATTTTTGATATCACTCAGGATGCCCTTGGCCTTCTTGGCCACCTGAGCTCACATTTGAGGAGAGAAAACTTCCCAATTCAGCGCTGGGTCCTCTCAGGGAAAGAAAAAAAAAAATAGGACAGAAAATGTAGTGATTGGGTCCTGATTAGGTTCTAGTTCATTTGGGGTCACCTGAAACACAATCTCAAAACCCTGAGGGTTGTGTGACCCACGAGCAGGGCAAGGCAACCAGCTCATGTTCAGCCTGTGCCCTCCTAAAACAACACCACCGACGTTTCTGCAAACACAATATCCCCCAAAACACCCCAGAGCCAAAAGCACACGAGTGAAGAAACGTCCTGGGGGGAGTGTGACAGGGAGGGCTTTCATTTCATGGCTGGCTGCAATGTCTGTTCAAAGCCCAGCACCACTGAGAAAGAGCCCAAGATCAAATGGAGGATGAATGGCTGGAACAAAACCCACTCTCACCACTCGATCCACAGATGATTCCCCAGGGAAACCCTCACAAAAGAGGGCTCAGCCTTTCAGAGAGAAACTTGCTGTGGATATTTTTCCCATGTGCCGTTTTATAGGATCACAAAAGTCGTGGAAATCAAGAGAGATCCTGAGGGGACAGGGATGGACTTCCCAGTGAGCCACCAACAAAGGAGCTGTTTGCAGAATGGGAACCAGCACCAAGCCTTTGCAAACAAACAATGTGGAATTCTTGGCTCCAAACAATGGCTTAAAAAAAGAGGGAAGGGGGAAAAAAAAAAAAAAAGGACTTATTTCATGGTATTTCCAACGGCCTCATCCTGCTGGATGAATCCTCCTCAGGACACCCCTCAGGAAGGTGTTCCTGTGATCACGTGGCCATTTCTGGGATGGAGATACTGTGTATGTGGAATTAGAAGCCTGTTAGGAAATGCCAGAGGAGGCTTTCAATTAATTAATAAACATATTTAAAGCACAGTCAGCACACTGAAATTAGGATTCTTCTTTCTTTTCCAGAAAACTTGCTTTTCTGAGGTATTTTTTTCCCTTGTTATTTGTAACTTCAGCTTCTCAAATACCCATTGAAGAGCCTCCCATCCTCCTGGAACACCACAGGACAAGCTCCACTCAGCCAGAAAGTCTTGCTGTGCTGGTCCCTGAAGACAACCCACAAATTTTTGGGTGTCACAAGACTCAATTCCATGCACTGAGTGACTCTTCTGGAAGGTTGGGTTTGGTTTCCCACTCGAGGTCACACCTTGATGCCACAAAAGAGGACGGCACAGGAGCCTCTCCCTGCCCTGTTCTGCCTCGGGTAGGAAAATTTGGAAGATCCTGTGACCCCAATTAAATCACTGATGTCCTGTTTTATACTCCCCAAACTGTGGAATATTTGTATTTTAAGGCACAAAGCCAAGCTTAAACTCCAAGCCCACCTGGCCCAAGGTGTAGAACAGCTCCAACCTCCTGCTCCTTTTCTCCCCAGGAGAAAAGTTTTCCTTCCAGTTTCCTTCCTGTCCAGCTTCCTTCCCACCACTTATCCACATTCTCATCCTACAAAGGGCTTTTTCCACATATCTCACATATACTATATATGTGGAACATATGCACTTATTATATTTACAAATACTAATGGAGTTCTACAAGGAAAACGTCAATTCCTCCCTTCTCTCACATTCCTGCACAGATTTAAAGGCCACAAATCTATTTTTGGTTGAGAAACTGGGGTCAGGCACCCCAGGAAAAGCACATTTCCTAACAAATAACGGGCTTAGCTTCAAGTTTTATCACGTTTTTAATGCACCACCCTGGTCCAGTGGTGCATTAAAATATTTGCCCGAATAATTATCGAATTTTGAATGACCAACCTCTTTCTACAGGAAGAATGAGGAGATATATAAATATATATATATATATATATTTTAAATTTGTTTTAAACAGAGGAGAGATGCTCTGGACAAAGAGGAGAACAGACATTCCTGAGGTTTCAGAAGATCCCAGAGCAGTTGAGGTTGGGCCACTCAGTCCCAGCCTCCTGCTCAAGGAGGACCAACCAAAACCGAGTTGCCCAAGGCCGTGATTCTTCTCTCACCTTCAGTTTTTGAGCTTCTCCTCTGACCTTGAGCAGCTCCGTGATGGAATCCACGAATCCCTGGTAGTGGAAGTTGCACATTTTCTCGATCTCCCGGTCGTGGTTCCGGATCCGAGCTTCCAGTTTCTCCATGAACCGACCGTGTTCCTCTCCATCGTAGACAGACCTGGGGAGAAGATGCCAACACTTGGTCAAGGTCCCAAGGTCTGTCACTGGCACAGCTCGTGAGAACTACCCAAAATATGAACTTTCAAAGGGAGCAGATCTGATTTTTTCTTTCCATAAACCAAGCACCGAACTCAAGGTTTGAAAATGTTTCTCCCGAAAATGTTTCTTTTCTGACCTTTCTCTCTCCACCAGCTTGACGTTCCCTGAGGGATGAGAATCAACCCAGCACTGGTGGATCTGAAACCTTGGACACTTCCAGGGCTCCAGGGGCAGCCACAGCTTCTCTGCCCAACCTGGGACAGGGCCTCCCCACCCTCCCAGCCAGGAATTCCTTCCCAATATCCCACCTGACCCTTCCCTCATTCAGCTTCAGGGCAAATGCAAAGGTGGAAACCCAAACCAAATTTCTCTCCTTCAAATCAAATGTTTCTCTAGAAAGCAGAGGGACCAACCGGTCACACCCTGAAAGGATGTGGGATTTCAGGGGGTTGTTTTCCTGTTTTTTTACAGTAAATACAGGTATTTTCTATGGATTGAAGTCACAGTATTTTTGAGAAGCACTGTTGGCTCCCAAACCTGAATCTTCTCCCAGTCCAAAAGGATTTTCGTAGCGAGTTTTATGGAATCTGACCTTGTGTCAGAAATTAAGGCCAAATCAATTATACACTGGATTCCAGGCAGGAATTAGAGATAAAGGGGTGGGAATGGGAGAGCTGTAACAAGAATGAAATTTTTAAAGAATTATTAATCACAATGACAAGCAGCACTTCAGAAAGAATCAGAATTCCGTGAATTCCAACTGGACACGCTCCTGCAGCAAGTCATGAGATCCTCCTTGGTGGGTGCGATCTGTGCTCACAAGGAGCTCTGGAGAATCCCACATCTCCAATCCACAGAGAAATAGAAAATAATACCAAGACAGGACTAAAAGCTGCAGAATTTTACTCAATAATTTACTTAATTACTATTCTTTAAAACCTGCCCAGGCAATTTCAATTCGACAGTTTCAGCTGAAGATTCCCAAGGGCCAAAACAAAAATGCCAAATAAATGCAAATAAAAAAAAAATGCAAAACAAAAATGCCAAATAAATGTAAAGAAAATGCAAAAGAAAAATGCCAAATAAATGTAAAGAAAATGCAAAAGAAAGATGCCAAATAAATGCCAATAAATCTGTTTAAAACTCAGTGTAAAATAACCCAGACCCCAGGAGTAGAAGCCTTCCTCACTCACTGGTTGGTGCTAAAGGTGAAAAAAAAAAAAAAAAAAAGAGATGGAACTTCCTCAAATTCCATGAAAGGCACCACTGATGCGGTGCTGGTGGTTTTTCCTTAAAGTTTCAAGG